AGAACAGAGAAGGAAACAGATAAGCAAGTCGGAGTCAACAATATGGGGCAAGGTTGACCAATTAATAATACTTGTGTAATTGGGCCATATTATATAAATGGACCCTTTTGTCTTTTGTGACATTCATTCAGTTGTAAAGAGTGGGTTTGTTTTCTCAGGTGTGAGAATTCGAGAGATATGTATTGTACATTGATACAGAATACGTTGGATTGATTCTTTTGATTCAATAATATCAGAAATTCTTATCAGATTCTTTATTTTGCACTCCAAATCCATATAGCCGTTAAAAAATAAAAACTTCATTTAACCCCACAAAAGAAAACTTGAATTTTCCTGTATTCTTTTTGATTCTTTGGCTTAGTGGACATGAATATGAAATATCAAAACCTTTGCTGTGGAAAGAGATTCCCCTGGTCGCCACACCTTTGCTTGCAACAAATCCAAATAAAGAAAGTTCCATATGGGTTGAAAACTAGCCCATAAGAGTTTGTTATTGGCTCTTGTTAGGCCGTATTCTATCTGGATCATGTTTTGGATGTTCTTTTCCTCTTCTTGGTAAGCTATGGTCTTGATGACCTCATCATATATCTCCTTACATTCTTCTGTTCTTTCCATTGTTGTCATCTTTAACTGTTGTTAATGGTTTTGCAGATATTTCCTGGTCTCCAACAAGGGCAAGAAAAAATGTCCAAACGATGAAGTTCCAAAAGTACAAAAGAACAACCTAAAAACTTTCCTCAAAAAGTTTTTGATTCAGAGTAATATACCCGTTTGTGGTGAACTATCTGATGCGCGGGTGGATCAAGCACCTTGGGTCTGGTGGTTTTGAAGTACTCCCGCTTTTGGACGATGGTGAGGAAGATTAGGAGAAATCAAGTTTCCGAGAGGAGAATGGAAAAAAAATGGTGAAGATGTAGTTGTACGAGTCAAATTATTTGTTTTGGTGTGGAGTTGGAGATGCCTTCACAGACTTCTAGCAAGTTTGACGAAGTCTACTCCAAAAAGTCAAAGTTTGGTCAATTGCAAAACTAACCTACCTTTTTAAGCAGATTCCAGGAGAAACTTCTCATAGTGAACAGACTTTTCACCTGAAGTGTACTCATCTTTTGGCAATGGCTAACCTGAAATACAAACTTCATATGAAGTCTACTTTTGCTGACTTCATTGTTAGTTTATGAAAGTATATTTTGTTAGACGTCTCCTTTTTCATGTTATTTTTAAAGTGCATTTTTATCAAATTTATAATGAATTTTGAAGATTTTCTAAGTCTTGCGCTTGAGTTAGTAAGTGTACTTGCTTCTATATCAGTTTTACATGTTTATATTTTATGGGTTGATGGAATCAATTTTCTTTTTTTATAAGATACGCAGCTTATTAGTCGCAGACTTCAGATGAGGTCTACTTATTATACATTGATTCTAATATGGTTGGAATTTGTTTTTCTTATAGAGAATGGTTCAGATACTCACTGTTTATGGAGAATGAGTGAGGAATTTCGAGGTGGATAATTGCAAAGGAGGGTGAATGTTTTTCTTAAGAAATGGTTGCACACATGGTGAAATGCTTAAAATGACACAAGAGAATTATATATGCTGGAAAAGGAAATATAGTTTATGACCAACTCATGAGTTTTTTAACTTCGATTTAGGTTATGGGTGACGAAAAAGTATCATGTTATGTAAGGTTTTTGTATACTGCGTCTGATACTTTTCAAATCCGACAACCCTTATTTATATGCAACTGGGTCATGCTTTGTGTTTTTTTAACGTTTTCCTTTAGAACATGTAGAAACTTTGATTATATACTATCAGACACCATTACAACTTCGATCATAGATTACAATTATCTACTTGACGACTGAACTGATGCAAATACTACTTCTATGAAGAGTTCCCTCGCAACACCCTAACGAAACTTGCTGTGAAGGCATCTCCAACTCCACACCAAAACAAATAATTTGACTCGTACAACTACATCTTCACCATTTTTTTGAAGTCTGCTCTCTGAAGTCTGCTCTAAAAAAAGACTTCAGAGAGGTCTGTTTTATATTTTACCAAGTTTGACTTTTCTGAGCAGACTTCAAACGAAGTTTACAGTGGGTTAGTTTTCAGGTTGGCCAAACATTGAATTAATTAAATAGTAGACTGTGTTTGAACTTGAAGTCTGTTCAACGAGTAGACTTCAACCGATGTGTGCTGTTTGAATGAAATTTCCAAACCACAAAAATAGCCTATGTAGACTGCAAAAAAAGTCTATGAAATAGTCAAATATTGGTCAATTGCAAAACTAACCTTCTTTTTTTGCAGCTTCAAGCGCATAATTCATTATAAAAGTCTTCTTCTTGGTCAAATGCAAACTTGTTTATAATGGAGTGTTCTTTTGAAGTCTATGCCATTTTTTGTCAAAGGAAATAGCGTAGAATTCAACCGAAGTCTACTGTCAAAAATTGGTACACACGATCAATTGCAAAATTAATATTTGCCTTGACTATATAACTTCCTCGGAAGTCTGCGACTGTAAGAATACTTCTGAAGAAGACTACGTTCACGGCACATATCTGAAAATTCATGAAATCGACTGAAAAAATTAACTAGCAGTGGTCTTTAGCTTCTCGATGGCTAAGAACTTCAATTCTAGCCACCACCAACGAAGCATAATCGCAATCCACAACCAAATCACCAAATATGACAATATCGTAGAACATCATGGTTTGAAAAAGGTAAATTAGAGAGTTCATGGGATGAAACTATAGAGAAAATGGAAGAATAAAGGTTAAGAAGAAAGATAATGAGTTGAAAGTGCTCAAAAATTGGTTATTGAAGCTATAATAGTTTGAAGTTAGTTGAAAATGATGGTTGAAATGATGGTTGAGTCAATTAATGATGATAGTATTTTCGTGAATATGTAAGAAAAATAAAAATTATTTGGTTATTTAGATTTTCAAAAATAAAAATAAAAATAAAAATAATAAATAAGAAAATAGTTAACTTTGAAAAAGATAAAAATGTGAATTTGATTTACCATTAACTTTATTTTAGAAGTTATTTTTTGCTAATCTCCCATACATTATTTAATATTTTTAATTTTATCATTATTTAATATTTTTAATTTCATTATACTTGTACTCAAATATTTTTGTTTTTCTTTTTTCTCTCATTTTTTGTTTTTTCTCATATTTTCTGTTGTTTCTCTCTTTTCAATTGGTTTGTCGATCGACCAACATCAAATAACCATAACTTTGTTTTTTTTTTTCATTTTTGTTGGTTTGAATTTTTCTCCATACTTTTCAGATTAATTTTGAGCAAAATGAATTGACTTAGTGAGTCAACTCGGTACCATTTTTGTTTTTAAAAAATACTTTTTTACAAAAACTGAACTTCAAATCTTTTGGAATTCCCATAGTCTCTTTTTGCAAAGGTCTTCAGAGGTCGTTATTTTCGCTATGGTACACTAATGGATTCAATACGATCATCGTATGGGTGGAAGAGTATCACATCTGCTAGATCTTTGGTATAAAAAGAGCTCATCATAAGAGTAGGGTCCGGGCATTCTATCTCCATATGGAATGACCCTTAGATTTCTGACTCACGCCCGAGATCAGCAATTTGCAAAGGGTATAATCTCTACCCTGAACTTATGGTCAATCAATTGATCAACTTCAACGTGGAATATACCACTACTACTACAATTAATTGTCCAGGAGGATGTCTGCCTCATTATTAGCTTGCCTACCGCAAGACATAGGGGACATGATCTCATGGGTTGGCACTTCACAAAGAATGGACGCTATATAGTTAAATCAGGGTACCTTACGAAACAAAAAAAAGGATTTTTTGGACACAATACCACAAGCATACGGGCCGGATGTGAGCAAGCTGCAGGCACAGGTGTGGTCAGTCAAATGTCCACCAAAGATGAAACATTTTTTTATGGCTAGCTATTTCTGGATGTCTGGCAGTGGGAGATCGGCTTCGGAACAGAGGTATTAACTGCAATCCTCAATGTATTCGATGCGGGGCAGAATGTGAGACGATAAATCATACATTTTTTGAATGCCCTCCAGCTTTACAAGTATGGGCATTGTCACCTATTCCAACCCCGGTACATGAGTTCCCGCTGGATGCGTTTTTCATAAACATGGCTCATTTGTTTTGGCAATTCCCAAATCACGAGGATATGAAAATATACTTGTGGCTATTATAGTATATATGGAAAATGAGAAATGATAAAATTTTCTCGAATATTGATTGGGACCCACGAGAGGTAGTTCGATTGGCAATAGCGGAAGCAAATGCTTGGGATGATGCACAACTGGACACACTAGATATGAGACCTTCCAGGGTTGCAGCTACGGCTGACTATACAGGCGTACTAACGTGCCACACAGATGGTTCTTGGGACAGATCCAACCACCACTCAGGTTTGGGCTGGTTCTGTCAAGGAATCAGAGACGTGGATACCTTAATGAGAGCACGGAATGTCCATCGAAGTTTGTCAGCACTACACTCACAGCATGAAGCTCTAATATGGGCAATGCACAATATGCTAGATGCAAAGTGATTGGAGATGACGTTCCTTACAGACTGTTCAGACTTAGTGAAGATGGTCTCTAACCCCAAAGAGTGGCCTTCTCTTTACATTTGGAGGAGCTCGAGACAAGCAGAAGAAAGTTTGCTTCTTTCACCATCGCTCAAATCCTACGCGCGCAAAACACGAAGGCAGACAAACTAGCACAATGTTACATCCACTCACTATTTAAATTATGTTAACTCAGTTCCACCTACTTAGCTCTCTGAATCTGTTTAGAAATATGAGGATGTTGAAAAAGAAAAAAACTTCAAGTCGTTCATTCTATCTATTTAAAAACGGGTTTAGGGTCTCTAAAAACGGATTTAGGCTAAAATAGATGGGTTGACAAAAAAAAAAGGGCTAAAATAGGTGGGAGGATAAAAGGTCCAAATATAAAGTCACTGGGCCCTTGTTTAATATGTACCGATCCAGATTTTTAAAACCATTTTCAGCCCAGATAAATCGTTACCCAAGAAGCAGTCTTCTTCTAGGGTTTTTTTTTTATAAGTTCTCGGATTTAGGTCATTCCGCCTCTCGTCTTCTCGTCACTGATCTCTCACACCAAGCTTCGGCTTACGCTTAGCTACAGAATCAAAAAATGGTAATGCATGTCATTTGTCTTTATCTCTTTTTCGTTTTCCGCCATAGTTACTTCATTATTTTCTCTCGTATCGCTCCTAGAAACATAGAATTTCTCTAGCGTTTCCTTAGTTTGTCTTCATTATTAGTCTGAGCTATGGTAACGAGAATTCATGACCCTGTGGTTGTATTCGTCATGGGTTTTAGAGTAATCTCATTGATCATTTCGTATTTGGTTTCGGCTTCGAAATACTTAGTTTTTCGTGCTTCAATAATTTTGCTGTATAAAGAGTCACTGATGCTTTGCAATCGATAATTCTGCTAGTTCTTTGTTTACCTTCGGATGAACATGTACATCATTAGATCTTAGGATTTGACTAGGGTTTTTCATGAGCGCCTACTGAAATCCGACGATTTGTTTTGTTAGGTGTTTGTTAAGCCTTCCAAGTCGAATGCATACTTCAAGAGGTATCAAGTGAAGTTCAGGAGAAGGAGAGGTATTTTTTCTTTCATTAGTCTCTTGCTTATATTGTCACTGCTCTATTTGTTTCAACTCGTTCTGAAAGTTAATTTTATCTTTCTGCAGATGGAAAGACTGATTACAGAGCGCGGATCCGTTTGATCAACCAAGACAAAAATAAGTACAACACACCAAAGTACCGTTTCGTTGTCAGGTTTACCAACAAAGACATAGTTGCACAAATCGTGTCTGCAAGCATAGCCGGTGACATTGTCAAGGCTTCTGCTTATGCTCATGAGCTTCCTCATTATGGACTCACTGTTGGTCTTACAAACTATGCTGCAGGTATTGAATCATTCATAGCTTTTCGTTTCATTATTTACGATAGTTGATTCTGTGTTTATGGTTTTGTTAGAGGCTGATATGTTCGTGTTTAACCAGCTTACTGTACCGGGCTTCTTTTGGCTCGCCGTGTTCTTAAGATGTTGGAAATGGATGCCGAGTACGAAGGCAACCTAGAGGTTTGTTGTTGACTTGTTTGCATTTTTATATTACCTCGGTTAACACTCAAATCGTAAATTCATGATCAGGCCACTGGAGAAGACTTCTCTGTGGAACCAACTGAGTCACGGAGACCATTCCGTGCTCTTCTTGATGTCGGACTTATCAGGACCACAACAGGAAACCGTGTTTTTGGTGCCCTCAAGGTATTAAAACTGTTCTGTTTTAATATCTTGGCATTGTTCTTATCTCTTCTATTGTGATGTGTTGGCTATAAGTTCTTTTGTGTGTTATTAGGGAGCCTTGGACGGAGGACTTGATATCCCTCACAGTGACAAGAGATTCGCTGGATTTAACAAGGAGAACAAGCAACTTGATGCTGAGATCCATAGGAACTACATCTATGGAGGACATGTCTCGAACTACATGAATCTGTTGACAGAAGATGAGCCAGAGAAGTTTCAGACGCATTTCAGTCAGTACGTAAAGAAAGGTGTTGACGCTGAGAACATGGAAGAGCTCTACAAGAAGGTTCATGAAGCTATTCGCGCAGATCCTAACCCGGAGAAGACCGCGAAAGCTGCTCCCAAGGAACACAAGAGGTATTTGATGAGAAGCTTTCCAGTATTTCTGAATGTATTTGGCTTTGATGTTGCGTTGGTGTCTCATTCTGGTTTTTGATTGATGAACAGGTACAACTTGAAAAAGTTGACTTATGAGGAGAGGAAGAACAAGTTGATTGAGAGAGTCAAGGCATTGAATGGCGCAGCAGGTGATGATGATGAGGATGAGGATGACGAAGAGTAAATTACTGCGTCTACTTCCATTGTCTTATGTTTCTTGTAGCTTTTTTGAGCTTATGGCTTTGAGTTTTTCTATTTGCAGACTAAAACACTCAGCTTTTGTTTTATTCACATCTTAATTTCCTTCGAGGATTTTGATTTTGAGGTTACTTTTTCTTTAAGAATGTATCTATCTTTTCTTATATGCCTAATACCTTCATCGTATCTGAAAATTTACAAGCTTCTGTCTAATTGATTTTTCTTAATAATTTCAAAGTACATCTTGTTTAATTAAAACCATATAAGATGAATATAGAAATAGTCTACTTCTCTTAATTTCTTTCAATTTCTTTCAAATTGAATACACTTTTTCATTTTCAGACATAAAAATCGTGTGTTGTCTATTAAAAACGTTTCAGCTTCATTTTTTTTGTTTAATATTAAAAAAAATTCAAAGAGGAATTGATTTCAACTTGTTTATCTCTTTTTATTTCTCAAGTCAAGTATCATGAATCTCACTATGTTGTACTCTTCAACAGAACATAACATTCAAAATTGAATATTTATTATCCAATATTTACCCATTACAGTTCCAATTTTACAATATAAAAAGTTACAAAACACATACTAATTCAATCAAAACTTTGTTCAGTTTTACAAATTAAAGAGCCATTTTTTTGTTTAACTGTAATAGTAAAATGCGACGTTCCGGATCTAAGAATCTATATGACATAACACATAAGACAATTAAATTAGAAACTTAAGAATACAAAACATGGTAGAATAATTTAATAAGAAAAGAGAAGGATCTCACTATGTTGTACTCTTCAGTCTTTAACAGAACATAACATTCAAAATTGAATATTTATGATCCAATATTTACTCATTACAGTTCTAATTTTACAATATAAAAAGTTACAAAACACATACTAATTCAATCAAAACTTTGTTCAGTTTTACAAATTAAAGAGCCATTTTTTTGTTTAACTCTAATAGTAAAATGCGACGTTCGGGATCTAAGAATCTATATGACACAACACATGAGACAATTAAATTAGAAACTTAAGAATACAAAACATGGTAGAATAATTTAATAAGAAAAGAGAATGATTCACTCTTGAATGTGGTTTTTGAGAGGATGTTAACATAATGCAGTTTAACCTGGATCATATAAACTGATGTGATCATGGAAAGCAGCAAGGATAAATTTGTGAAAACTGAGCTTGAACACGAGGATGCAATGTTTGTTCCAGAAATACCAATGACTCGAGTAAGAGTTAAGCAGTTGAGGAATGCACTTAGTGGACTGATTTATGATGTTTTGAACAAAGAAAGCAATGTGGAAGCAAACGTGCAACACAAGGATGTTATACTACTCTCGCACAAATCAAGTGTGGTAATCCTCACCATGTTGTACTCTTCCACATAATACAACATTCAAAATTGAAGATTTATGATCCAATATTAACTCGTTATAGTTCCAATTTCAAAATATAAAAACTTACAAAACAAACCAATTCAATCAAAGCTTTGTTCAGTTTTGAAAATTGAGGAGCCATTCTTTTGTTTAACTTTGACAGTAAAATGCGATGATCTGGGTCCAAGAGTTCAACCATCATAAGAAAAAAGCTATCAATCAAACAATGGTGTAAAAGATTGATTAAGAACCATTTTAGAACATAAAGTTCACAAATTTGACTAATTCACTCTCATTACACAAATCAATTTGCTAATTATCTAATCAAGAGCTAAACATCATTAGTTAAAAGATAATCAACAAGTATGAATAAACAACTTCAATTGGTTCACTAAACACCCTAGACATCAACTCTCATTGGCTAGGCACATAAAGCTTATAAAAAGTCTGTTGTAAGCATTTCATCAAATACTTTGTGGGCATGGAAATGACCTAAGGTTTAGATTACTTTTTCCAAAGCGTATTTAACATTAATAACAACCTATATGAAGGATCTAACAAGAAACAACCTAAATCATCAACATCTAACCATCAATTCATCTCATTGTAGCAAAACCCACGATTTAATCAAAAACCTAAAGGCTAAGCACGACCAAAAGCAAAACAAAAGATATAAACATAAAGCTAAATGATAGAAGTAAATAATCCTTCAATAGGGTGGCATGATTCATGCAGATCAATCAAAAAAATCCATAAAGAAGAGTTTTGATCAAAACCCAACTCTACATAAAAGAAAACATATGTTTTTTTACGTGTCTGTAAACTGTATTTAAAGTAAGAGGAAGTGAAACTCAGGTTAACTTGGTCAAAGGTTGATTTAGGCTTCATCTCGTTTTATTGCACATACCATATCTCGATATACCAACCGATATGGCCTCCTATCACAAATCGATATGGTCTAATCGATATGATATCTCAGGCTCATGGACAAGTGTTGCTAAAAACAAAACTCCACTACTATTACTATTTTTCTTCCTTCTTCTAACTTACAAGCAAATTCCCTTCTAGAGCTCTGATTGATCCATATCTTAATCAGGTTCTGTGAGATTCACGACACTTAATTTGAGAAATGAATAAAGGTAAACAACTCAAAATCAATTTCTTTTTTAGTTTCTTACAAGTTTAGTATTAAACAAAAAAATGAAGCTGAACCGTTTTTGTAGATGGCACATAATTTGTACTGTCACCAAACTAAATACACTTGTCGATTTAAGTCAGTACAAATTGTGTGCTGTCTATAAAAACGTTCCAGCTTTATTTTTTTGGTTAAAACTAAAAGAAACTAAAAGAGGAATTGATTTTTAGTTGTTTACCTCTTTTCATTTCTCAAATCAAATGTGGTGAACCTCACCATGTTGTACTCTTCCACGTAATACAACAAATACTTGATTATATTAAATAAAACAAAGAAATTGTCTTACAAACTTAAAGAAAATGCTCAAAAACAGTATTTTGACAAGACCTGTCGAAAATCTGGAAAAAGAGGCTATTTATAGCCTAGAGAAGAAAACCCTAGAGTAATGGCATAAGCGTAATTAAAAACAGGTTCGGGGTGGGTCAGTATCGGTAAGTTGCTTCGGTCTTCAGTGACCGAAATGGATCTCTATCGGTCTGGAGTGATAGACACATATGACCGAAATCCATCCATTGTGTTTGTGTCCATCACACTTGACCGATACTGGTGATCGACACTGCTCTGTATTGGTCATTCTTGACCGATACTCACTGTGCTCTGACCGAAAACTTCTGCAGAGATCTTCTGCTGTGATCCCTCTTGCTCCTTTTAGCCCAGCTAGCATCCTGGATCATCCCCAAAGCTCCTCCAAGCTCCTATTAGCTCCAAAAATACCTAAAAACATCCAAAATACAAGGAAAATGCAAACTATACTCTAAATGTAACCTAAGTCTAAAAGGAGCAGAAAATGGGACAAAAGCTAAGAGAAAACATGCAAAAGAGGACCAAAATATGTACTAAATGCAGCCCTAAATGGTGTAAATTCAAGGGATATCAACACCCCCACACTTGCCTTTTGCTTGTCCTCAAGCAAATAAGAACAAATGGGAGAGTGAGGTTTGAAAGTGGGCATTCAGATTCCAAAAGTGCAAAGGTAAAGAGATGGTTTCAATGCTTAAGTGCCTAGTTGTAGGATGCAAACATAATCAGCTATACTTTAAAGAACCTAGCCATGCTCATCATGTTTCAAAATGATCTCAAATCTAAACTTAGGCAAATGCTCAAATCAATCAACTCTTTAACATTCAATTAAGTTCAGAACATGAATCATGCTTATGCAAATCAAGTGAAGACATTTGGTTGAATAGGGGTAAGGTTATGAGATAAGAATGATCTCATTTAAGCACAAGGTTTTAAAAACATAAAGGATCACTCAATGAAATGACTTCATCTTAGGCAAAATGCTAAAGGTAAAAGCACACTTATGCATGCAATTCAAAGCTCTCTTCTACCCTTATTTCCCAAAGATGAGTCCTAAGCATTTCTAAACCCAAGAGTGAACCCTCTAAGTCTACCCTTTCCTTAACTCTACCCTTTACCCTTCTTCATGGCTGGGGAAACTTCTTTTTTTTGCTCGTGTGGTTGTTTCTTCTTTGTTGGGACTTGCTCTTCTTTGTTGTATTGGCACCTTCATCACCTTTGGTGGCTTGCTCCTGGTCTGATTTTTCTTCTTTGGACCCTTTCTGAGCTTTGTTGTTGGCGCCAATTCTTCTTTTTCAACTTAGAGTTTTTCTTTCCTTTACTTAACCACAATTCTAGACTGTTTCCCCTTTTCTACCATTTCAGATCTTTTCCTTTTCTTTCAAAACATATAAACATTAAGCTCAAACCACTTACACTACCCTTTTAAACCCCAAAACTGCTATCCTAGAATCAAGCTCAAGATGCAAGCTGATATCTACAAGAGAGCTAATCATTGCCAGCCTTATTCCTAACACTTTTTGCTAAGATAAAATCGAAAATGCAATGCAAAGGCCTCACAGCTCTCACAATAGTGTTTAGGCTCAAAAGGAGGTTTTGGTTAAGGGTGAGGATGTAACTGTCCCATAATTATGAGGATCAGCTATTTGGATCAACAAGAGTGGTAAAAAGGAGAAGATGATCCAAATATGTATATGGTAGCCATGAATTCACTTTTCAATGCATAAGACATGATAATTAAAAGTCCAAATTAAAGTTCAAGTTGATAGAGTTGCTTTTCAGAGAACAAATGCTTTCAGAATGAGATGAGAAGACCAAATCTAGCAATCTAAGCATGGTTCAGCCTTAACTTCTAGCAATCAAATGATGCATGAAACAACTAAGCACTTAAAAACTGAAATCATCACTAAACACTAAGCACTTTACAAGGAAAATTCATCATAATGCCCTATGCAAATGCAATGCAACCTATATGTCAACACTAGACTCAATCTTAGAAAAATGAAATGCAACTACATGCTTTTTTTTTGGTTTGCAAAAATGCAAAAAATTTTCAAATTTTTTGATTTTTTTGTGTTTTTCTATGCCTTACATGTATGCATGATATGCATGAGACTCAAAGTGGAAAGAAAAAGAAAAACTAAGAAAACAGAACACAAAGTCAAACTCCAAATCTCTCCCCCACACTTAAAATACACAGTCCCTTGTGTAATGAAAGCAATGGAAGAGAGAAGCAACAAAATATATTACAGAAATAAAAAGATACAATGGTATAGAACAATGGAAAGGATGTGGTACTTGGTTTAATGGTAGGAGTTGTGGGATGATCCTGAGGTTTGAGGAGACTTGCTAGCTCTCCTCTTCCTT